ATCTATAATTTATATTATTATGAATTATAATCTAATGATAAATCAAACGGAGAAATGTCATAAGAATTATTAAACTAGAAAGAAATTTCTTATAATATACATTATTAAAAATTATACAAAAAAAAAAAAAAAAAAACTGAAATAATTTCGATGTAATTAAAAATTAGTAAATTTTGTAACTCTAAAATAATATACACTACAATTTGTTCAAACTTAAGCATCATTCATAATATTTGGCACAATTTGTCAACTTTACCACCACAACTTATTTAGGAGTCGAAATAATATATTAAGATAACGTATAAGAAAAGAAAGAAAAAAGATTTTTTTTTTTTTTGTGATTGCTATTTATTGATAATGTTTGAATACATATATTTACTAATCATATCAAAGTGTTTTTATTTAAGTATACATACATGTGACATTGCATACATTGCATGATTTGCATCATTCTGTTAAGAGGTTTTGAAAGATTATGAGGCCCCCACTATTTTGGCTATTAGTCTTTGACTTGTGGAATGGAAGTAGACACACATGCTTCCACATGAAAAGAAGAGAATCCAATCCTCACCAATCCATTTTTTTATTCAATCAAATCAAAGTTTATTTTATTTTATTTTAATTTTTTTTTTTTTATGTTTTTGGTCATAATCATGCATTCACAATCACACCAGCCTTCCTTTCATTCACAAATCACTACTATATATGAGCACTTTCCTAAAGTTCTTGTTCCCCTTTCACTGTCAATAACTACCAAGTATATTACATTATATTATTAGTTTTATTTTTTATTTTTATTTTTCAAAACGACAGATATATTATATAATCAGAAAATGTACAAAAGTGCAGTCATAGGCTGAATACAAACAGCTAACAGTTGAATATGAACAGCCAACAGCCGAATAAAGTGGGAGAACGGTCCAAGACCGCCTAGAGCCGACCGCGACGGGTAATACTTACAACACACAAAACTACCAAACGAAAAGAGTAATATTATTAGTTGAAAAGGTTAAATAAATGTTTTATATTTTGAAAAGAATATTAGTGTACAAGTCTAATAGTTTGTATGTTTAGGATGAGGAAATTCCACTTAGGTACCCATAATATTTTTTTTCTATTTTTTATTTTTTATTTTTAATTCAAAGTTCCAATTTGATTGATATTGGCCCCAGATATTTCAAAATTAATAATTTTCAATTCAAAATGGATAAAAATTAATGGCTCCCCACCTCCGCCGCTGCGATCAACGGCGAATTTTAACAAATCATGTCATTTTTATATCTCGACTCAACTTACCTAATGGTACATTTAAGTTTATCATATGATACATTAAAATTTGCCAAAAGCTCGTCAAAGACTGTAAAAAATTTCGGCCATAATGCGCTTTAAAGTTTGCCCAAGTGCTAGAATAAATCTCACGGTTAAATTTTCATGAAAATATATGTATTGAATACCATTTTCTTGACAAATTTAATAGTGTTGCCCGATCATCAATAGTGTCTCTCAATCGCCGAAAATAAGCAGGTGCAGTTTTCAGTTTTTCGGCGAGTTGCAACGATTGTAAAAACTTAAAATTTAATTAACACGTTATCGGTGATTGAGAGACCAGATTGATGTTCACAAGGCATCACTGAGTCAAACTTTACGATGCATTTTGGCCGAAAAGAATAACAAATATAACGACGATTTTGACAAACTTTGGTTTATCATATGATGTAAAAGTGGAGAGAATGAATTTCTGTATATTACTTCTCAACAATGCAATGACTTAGTTTTATACACAAAGATACAAAGAGAAAAAGGAAATAAGTATCCTAGTTCTATAACGAATATACAATTGTCATATTTATGGTATAAGAATATTACAAGATAATCTCTCAATATATGATAAAATCAAAGTTACTGTTCAATGGGTTATTTAGACAGTAGCTTCAAAATGGTATATAATTTGTTGAAATACGCCATCGAAAGCGACTACGAGGGAAAACGACAACTATTAGTTTTAATAAGTTACCATTAGTTTTAATAAGTTTTTTTTCAACATTCTAGACCACAAGCAATTAATTTTTTTAACATTTTAATGAGCAAACTTGATTAAATTGAAACATTAGGTACCAAAAGCAAAAAATAACTATATATATTTAGGGTACAAACTTATTCTTTTCCCTTATAAGATAATTATTTTCTTAGATAGTTGCTTGTTTGAATGTTGTTTCGCATAAAATCATTTGAAGAATTAACCTATTTTAAATCAATGGTATAAATCATTGTTGGTTAGGAATTACCCACAAAGAAAAAAAGTAAAAAGGTAGATAATCTGTCACAAATCCTGATTTTTTTTAAATATTGTGTCATAGTAAAATTTATGCGTTTGTGAATAGTGGGAACACATATCTGCATTTTTAGGAGAGAGAAAAAGGTACCAAACGCATTTTGCGTTTGGTTTTGAGCACCGATTGGAGTAAAATATACTTTTGTGTTTGAGTATGGGACTCGATTGAAGTTGCTCTAAGTATTGATACTCAAAATTTGTTGACCCGAATTAAGCCCATTAAAATAATTAAGATACAATCAATACGGACGATATTTCCGAAAACCGTGATATTAAGAAGCACTTCAGCCAAAATGAAAGATGCAGACCTCAAGACATCTTCCTCTTATATGTCGACCTCATTTCAAGCTATGGGATAATCACGCCGACATTCGTAGAAGCAAGACCGCCCCCATTGCCGATCTCAACCATGCCGATCTAAACACTGCATTAATGTGAAATGAGTTGTCGCCCAAAATCGATTCTCACTCCCAAAAGTATGAGCCAGTTGCCCAATTAGGACAACTTTACTTGCAAGTTGCTAGGACACGTATCTCCATGCATGTCATTAGTCTATTTGAAGTTGCAACGCATCCCAAATATTTTTATATTTTAAAGTTCTCCCTTTCTATAAATAGAGTGGTTCGGAGGATTCAAGGAGAATCAAGTTCTTCATCAAGTTCTACACCAAGTTATACTCTATAAGTTTTTAGTTCTCCATTGTTCCTCCAGATACTACAATTTCTTGTTTTGTTCCCGTTTTTCCCCGGCCTTCGAAAGGCTCTTGTATAAAAGAGGTACGAGAGCGGTCCAATCCATAAATAAAATAGCCGATGCAGGCACCCGAAGTTTTCTTTGTTATTTTCATTATTTTCATGCTAAAATCCACCAATGCATTAAATCACAGTCTAATTAACACACCACCGCTTCGGTGGTCCGGTTGGCAAAAAACACACGTCGACAATAAGCGTACTAATACTTTATTAATAATAATTATTATTTATTTATATGGACAATATGATTGTCAAATCAAAAATCATAAAATGAAGGCAATCCAATATTATATATAAATATGGGTAACAATAAAAATATTATTATATATTATAAAAGGAAATGTCATTAATACTCAATAATAAAAATAAGAAAAACACACAATGTAGAAATAAAATAATTGATTGAAAATTTTTAAGAGGTTTAATCAATAAAGTATATCAGCTATTGATATCTCATTATCTAAAATAAAATAAAAGTCTCACTATGGATGGTGAAAAATTAACAAGTGAAAATAGAAAAAAAAGTAAAGAAGAATATTTTAAATTGTTTTTTATTAAATAACTAATATTTTTTAACGGAACACTATATATTTTTAGAGTAAATACAACCTTTTTACAATTTTTACTATATTTTCAATTCTTCATATATTGCCAATGTGATCCAACAAAGGCTATGTTTGGTAAAACTAGCTAATAAATTAGTTGATAGCTGATAAGCTAATATATAGTTTATCAGTGATTTTTTAGCTTATAGCTTGTCAAAAGCTAGCTTATATGATAAAAGTGTTAGGTAAAATTAGAGCTGGAATAACAAATTCAACTAGCTTATTTGAAAAGCGACCTAAAAAAGCTTATCAAATAAGCTCGGACTTTTTAGAAAAGCTCGTCCTACCAAACAAGGTTTATTTAAATACAGGGAGCTCATAAGTTATAAGCTAACCAGATAAGTTATAAGTTAGTTTATTTGTCTACCAATCATAGCCAAAATCTAGGAAAACGTCATGGTCCGTAATTGAACCATTTCCTTACATCAAACTTCAATAAAAAAAACTGACGCATCACTTTTATTTTACCACATCTAAGTGTTCATATAAAAACTAACGCATCTAACGACTTATATTGATTTGAGGGAATCATTCTGCCACGGGATTGTAGCATTTTTTTCCCCCAAAAGTTTATTTATTTATTTAAATAAACAATGGAAAATTTTGATAGCATGTAGTAGTAATTGCCTAATTGGTAAAGATTTAAAAAAAAAAAAAAAAAGCAAGAAATCAAATCTCATCAATAAATGAGTTCCCTTCCTATCTACACCAGAGCCCACACAATCAACGGCCGTTGGAATATACAAAAACGTGAATTAAGTATGGAAACTGAGGAAGAGAAAGAGAGAAAGGCCATCCCCATTTTGCTCACCTTCTTTATATTAAGGCGGGGACTTGTAAAGCTTTCACTCTTTAGAAGAGGAAAAAAAGAACAATTTTTTTTTTAACCTTTTTTTTTTCATTTTTTTCAGCAAACAAGAAAATGTGAATTGATCTGTTTATTTTGTCTCCATTCTTGCAGAGCTAGAGTTGCAGTGGCAGTATCTTTTTTTTTTTTTTTTTTTTT